ATGAGTCAAAAAAAGTTGAACATAAATGAATTAAGAGATTAAAAAAAAGTATCTTAAAATAAAAATATAAGTTTTATCAAACTATATTTTATTAATATTTTTACTTTGATAAATTATTACAATTTTTTATTTTTGTATTCTTACTGAATTAATGTAATTTATTCAGTTTATTATTTATTTATTTTTTAAATTAAGATAAATTATCAAGGAGGACAAGTCCATTAGGAATAATCGGATAGCCAAATTTAAATAATTGTAGAGATTTGAAGTCAAGATAGTTCAATTTCGTTAGTACATCTTATGTGCATTACGTCGTGTATTTGTATTTATTTATAATTTATATATGCAAGAGATGTATAATATAATATTTTATTATATTATTGCTGTATTAGTGGATTTTACGCGAGCGACAACGTCTTTAAAGATTCGTACGATTTGAAAAAAAAAATAATAATAATAAAAAAGAAAAAGGGGGAAGGCAAAAGGGAGACTGGTTTTAGTTCAAATTTTACTTTGTTTTTTTTTTAAGATTTAAATAACGAGAAATGACTTTTAAATTCATATAGAGAAGGATAAATATCCCAATAATTAATAAATTCACAAGAAGATATTATAATTATTGTAAAAAAACAATTGGAATTAGCGTACAGCCGAAAAGGACAAGAAAACGACAAAAAAAAAAAGAAAAGGGAATATAAAAGACTAGGTGGAAGCACGCGCCAAAAAACATGAGAGTGGGACATGTGATTTCTGTAGGAATTACTACTTCCAAGTTTTACTCCAAATAATAATTGCTTTTCTTGTTTTATATACCCAGCGAGCACATCGTTCGTCGTGCCGTCTACCGCCTGCACCTCCTCCATCTTCTTCCATCACTCTTCCTTCCGTTTCCAAAAACCAGAAAACCCTAACTTTTTCCTTCGTTCCTCAGTTATCTCACACCAGAGTGGCCTCCGTCACCCCTTTGTTACTTCCTCCATTCGAGATTCCTTGCTCGCCAGGGCTCTCGTTTTTTTCAAATGCTATTCCCCAGCGGCTGCCATTGTTTACGGGTCCGAACAGTGTTTGTCGAGGATCAAAAACCTGGAAGCTAAATAATCTCCCCCTGTCGTCATCGTCCATCGCGTCAACTCCTCTTGTAGTCAAACTTTGGAATCTCCACTCAGGTAATACCCGAGCCTCTCATATTTCTATTTTTCACATTCTTCTGTTGTTATATTTGAGACATATTTTGCAAAATAGTGTTAAAGGGAAGACCTTGTTTCCATGGTTTAACATGTTCCATTTAGCTTTATTTGTACTGGCATTTTTTTTTTCACTATCATTTCCTGTTTACATCTCATAATTTTTTTGTTCTTCAAGGGAAGTAAACTTTCCTGTACCATCCTCAAATGTTTCTAGTTCCATTTTAAGAGCTTAAATCTGTGGTTTTGATTTCTATTATATATATATATATATTTCCATTTGTCCACATGTTTTATAGTTCCTTTTGAAGAGCTTAAATCTGAGGGTCTATGGTTTTGAACTCCATTTGGTCCTTTTTTATTTTTTTGAATTTTTTCTATTTATTTCTCAATGATCCATCTTTACCATGCACTTTTAGGTCCCCTTTTGAGTCCTTTTACTTTTTTTGTTACATTTCCTTATATTAACAATATTTTTGAGAGCTTTATTTTCTTGAATAGTTAGTGCGATTAAATCGAGAGAAGCATGAGATATATTGCAAGAAGAGCTTTAGGGATATGCAAAGGTAATTGCCGTGAAGTTGCAAATTTTGAGAAGATAATTTAAAGAATTGAAAAATAAAGGAGTTAGAGAAAATAAATAAGTATTTCTCGAGGGTTGTCTGACAAGTATGAGTATATTGTTGCTAGAATTGAAGAGTGAAAAGACTTGTTCACACTTACAATTTAACAATTGATGAGTTTCTTAGAGTCGCATGAGGCGAGCAAATTGTAGTTTGGAGCAACTCAGTTGAAAGTGCTTTTAGCACAAGTCTTAGAACCCAAAAATCCTTGAAAATTCGAAAGTACTTCTCAGAGAAAAGGTGGACAAGATGTGCAGAAACAGCATGTTTCAAATTGAAAAAGAATTAGGTTTGAGTAGTTTAAATATGCAGTGTGATATATGCAAGAAATTGAATTATAGTATGCCAAGATGAAAATGCTGCAACAAATGCAAGAAGTACGACATTTTGCAAAGCGTTGCATACTCAATTTTGTGATCGATCAAATTTCTCAGCAGAAAAGAATGCAGAAAATATTTTTGATGCATGCCATGTTGCGATAGAAGAGATTGATGATATTTGGTATCTGTATAGTGGCTGCACAAACCACGTGATTGGTAATTAAATTTTTTTCCTAGATACAGATGCATCGTACGAGATCAGTTGCGCATGGGAAACGGTCAAGATAAAAGCAAAGATAATATTGCTGTGCAGACTAAGATGGGGTCGAAATTTCTTTGAGATGTACCATTAGTTCTAGATTTGAAGCAAAATTTGTTGAGTATCAAACAACTTGTGTAAAATGGTTACACAGCTTATTGTGAGGAGGAAGGTTGCAAAATTTTCAATCGTAGAAAAAAAAATAGCTAACCAAAGTTGATATCGAGAGGTTTAGAAAGTTTCCGCTACAAATAAGTTGTGCTTCATAATTGATATTGCAAAGTGAAGTAACAGACTGTTCATCCTTATGGGACAAAAGGTTTGTTCATCTCAACTACAATGGTTTAGAGATGCTGACAGTTAAAAACATGGTTCAAGCCCTATTATTCATTCACACGAATTCAAGCACTTGTGAAGGATGTGTTTTCCGTAAACAACATCAAACATCATTTGAAGGAATATATTTTGTGGTAGCAAGTTGACAATTGCAATTAGTGAGAATCTAGTTAGTCATGACAGGACCAAACATATTTTATGAAGTACCATTACATCTAAGAAGTAGTCGAACGCTAATAGGTACAACTTAAATTTTGTAAAACGGATTTTTAGTTCGCTGATATCTTTTGCATAAGCATTAACCAAAAATAATTCATA